AGACCTGCGAATGGCATAAATGCAAGGACTGGTCATAAAGTTACTTTTTCATCACTACTGTAACTGTGGTCACTAAACGAGACAGTTGCTAAACAAGGACTACATATATAGAACTCTACAAAATTTGAATCACACGTACCATATATATACTCAAATTTAGAAGTGACGTATATGTCTACTCTTCTCACTCATTCACTCTTTCCTGTTGATTTTATATTAAATTCCTAACCAGGAATTGTTTAACTCTGGATTAGTAAGAAGCCCAAAGTCATAAAGTCAGAGGCTGGGTTTGTGTATCCACTGTCCTATCAGTATGTATGTCCTATCAGCATGTCCTATCATATGTATACTTTTCACCCAGGGCTTTTGGTGTTTTAATCTTCAGTATTTATTGTTTTGATTTCTCATGCTTACATTCCTTGCTTTTTTAAATGGCATTTGTTACATCATTAATTAACCACCCAGAAATGTTAAAGAAGTGGCTTCATATAAATTGTCTGGATAAATCAATAATATGTCCTGTTTGCTTTTGCTTAACATGTGAGTCCATCACTGCAATCTGTAATGATAATTTATGGCTACTGGCAGAGGTGAGCAATATTTTCAGATGCCCTTCTTCCATTTTTTTCAATATAGCTGAAATTTCATAAAATTTCACCTGGGCAAGAATCCTGGAATCTTTGAAGTGTATCAATCTTCTCAGATTTCAGTCATGTTTAGTTTTACTCAATTTTGGGACAGTGTAACAGGTGGCATTTTATGATGTATTAGATTCCTTGGCTCTGCTCTATCGCTGACCCCTGAAGGCTAAAATCTTATACTTCATATGGGGAATCCAGAGTTCAAACATCTGCAAAAGATGGTTGTCAAGACTTTTCCAGAAGACTTCCAGTAAGGGCAAGCCTGCCCTCTCCCAACTAACTGGTTCTACTGTCAAAATATCCTTAATCTCAAGACATTTCTCCAAATATTCAATCAAAAGCTAATCTATCATTTGTCCACTGGATCTACTCCTCCCCAAGAGCTGCCTGCCTTCCTCTATAAAAAAGCATTTCATGTATCTGAAGAAGGCTATTGTGTAACTGCAGTGAAAAACACAGAAACAATTGTACATAAGTGATTAATTTTCCAGCCTGGACCCACTTTATTAATGTTATTGTTCTTGTTTTACTCTCATTATTGCTGATTTTTGATCATATTAATACAATTTAATTTGAAGAATCCTATCAGAGGCCCTCAATATTTGCTCAATATACTGTATACAATTGTATAGATTAACAGTAATTTAAGTCTCTTATATTAAAACCCTATACATTAGCCACCAAATACATGGGCCTTTAGGAGTCTCACCGACTAGATCCACATCTCACACAAGATGGCTGGTTTGGTTTTGGCTTAGCAAGTTGTATGAACAGGGATAACAAGGGTTTGTTTAACAAACCTGCCTTAGGTGCACTGTTTGAACCCTGCGTGTAAACTTGGGAAATAATTCCCAGTGAAACACAATAGGTCAGATCTGAGTAAATAATCAGAAAGTCAACCAACATAATCTACTCATTCATTTACTGGGGTTGTGTGTTAGCTTGGGTCCCTCCGCCACATGCTTCCTCCAAGAACAGGCGCTTTTCAGTTAACACTACCCGCGAACTTGCGAATTAGCTACTGCACTTCCTAGCACCGCTATCTCCATGCTCTGAATGCCGGGGAACCACGCCTCCCCTTCTGAAAGCAACACGTTGCACCCCCGGAGATCCCTGGAGCTCCTTCGGTGGGGGCGCTTGCCCGGCGCAGGCGGAAGCGCGCTGGGGAAGGACATCTGCAGCTGCGCGAGGCAACCAAATCCGTTCGCGCCAGAAAAAGACCGCAAAGACCAGGGAACGTTTAAAGCAGCGTTTCTCAGACTTGACCACTTTAGGATGTGCGGGCTTCAGCTCCCAGAATTCCCCAGC